AAGTTAGTTGGTTTGGTTTTGGGTTTCGGGTTCCGGTACGTAGTAGGTCGACGTTACGTACGCGTTCCGTCCGTAACTTAGGTCGGGACGTAGGGGGTCGGGTACCCGTACCGTCCGGACCGACTCTACGCCGAACGGTAACGTACTCTCTCTCTCTCTCTCTCCCTCCCTCCCTCTATCTCTCGCTTGTTATTCGTCTCCCGACTTGAATAAACATTTGGATTCTTTCTCTGTCTCCTTAACAGTCAAAATAAGAGATATTTGGATGTTCTCATCTAAGCCAATTGATGAAGCAACTGTAATGGAATGATCATGCTCTATCCAACTTTGACCGATGTTATTTTCATTTTACATTGTCGACATTAAAAACAGACAAAAAAAATCATGTAGAATGGGAGTGGAACTTTATGCAAACACTCAGAGGAATTCATTTGACAAAAAGGAGATGCATTCCCCATCCATTGGATTTATGTAAATGCTTAGAGGATTTAGGTAAGTGCTTATAAAGAAAAATGTGCATTTTCCATTCAAATTTCTAAGTATTGATACTACTGTCTGCAACCAAACATTGTTTGAACCTTTACATTCTATAGTCATTGTAATCATCATCGCAGCTTTTTTTCACCCATTTGGGGACAACTACACGGATCCTGATATGCCGTGCTCTATCAAGGGCCATACCCTTGGCCATAAGTCCCTATGTCTTCTAACCATATCTTTTTGAGCCTACTCTTTGCATTTTTTGAGCCTTCCACTAGAACTAACTCGTACCTACAAATGGCCAGCCCATCTAAACCTACTTATCACCTGTTAGAGCCACACCTAAGTTCTCCTAAATGTATTCATTTTGTACTCTATCCTTTCTTGTCTTGCCACTCATTCATCTCAATTACACTCATCCTATGGGTATGGGTATGTTGTTTCATATCAGCTTGATTAGTATGTGGCGATCACATAAAACCTCAGTTGCACAGTGCCACTTCTCCCACCTAGCTTTATTTCTATTTGCGACATCTTCCTCAATCTATCCATTTTTCTAGATTATCGACCCAAGATATTGAAAGTGCACTCTTTTTGGTATTTCTTGTTCATCATTCTTAATTGCTTCCTCTACTCCTATTATTACTAAACTTGCATTCATACACTCTATCTTAGTCCAGCTAATTGATTTACCGTTACATTCTATAGTAATGGTAAATCAATTTTGGGTTTTGGAAAGCAAGAGAAATGAGGCTATACAAGGATTTGAAAATTTAATATCTTCTCTTATATTCTATTGCAATTTAGTTCCTAATAATAATAAGAATAGTAGTAATATTATTAATAATAATGATAATGATAATAATAATAATAATAATAATAATAATAATAATAATAATAATAATGATAATAATAATAACTACTACTACTACTACTACTACTACTAATAATAATAACTACTATGGGGACAGCAGCAAGTGCAAAAAGCATTGAAATACATTTCATTTCATCTTACTGTTTGAAGACTCAGCCAATTTGAGTTGGACTCGGCCCTCGGCAGTGTGCTTGCTAAGGCAAATTTTTGTACAAACTAGAGTTTAGAAATATTATGTTAGTTCTATACAAATTTTGTTAATAAACAGTACAATAGGTAATGTATAAATACATTCTATATAACTTTTATGTGTTTTATGATGATTTGCAAATGTTTTTATTATATGTTGTATTTTATTTTATTTTATTTTCTGAATTGTTTCTAGCTATTACTCAATTTTTTTATATATTCCATCTTCTATATACATTTTTTCCATATTTTATAGACATTTAATGCTTTTTAGTAACTTCTCTTGGTTTTCATTATTTTTTTATTTTTTGCTTTTTTGTTATTTAATTTTGCAATTTTTAGCCCTTTTGTAGCTTGTGCAAGACTCAGGTCAGTCCACTCTAACTCGCCCGAGTTACTTGGCTTGGGTGGGGCACAAGAAGGGGTGGCAATGGGTCGGGTCCGGTTGGACCCGGACCCAGACCCAAATGTATTCGAGTTCAGGTTTTGGACCCGGACCCGACCCGTTGGGTCTAAAAGTTGGACCCATACTCGTCCTCGTTAGGTCTCGAGTCGGTCCCGGGTCTATCCCGTCGGGTCCCGGGTCAGGTCCATTGCCATCCTCACTATGAGCTTTCGTTTTTGTAGCTTACAATGGTGAACAACAGAGAACTAATTTTTGAGGGGTGGGCGATTAGAGAGAGAGAAAGAGACATTCGAGATCCATATAGAGAGCTATGTCTCCAAGAAATTGAGAGAGGGAGGATTGCAGAGAGGGAGGATGGTGATGGGGTTGGCCGTTTGGGGAACTAGGGGAAGACGAAAAGTATTGAAACGATTTTAGGGTTGGGGCTTTGGCCTTTGGGTAAACTAAAAATTTGGGTCCTGGTGCCCACCAGGTCAGGTATAGCAGGATTTGTACCCGGACTCGGACTATCCAGGTATCTTTTGTTGGACCCAAAACCTACTTGCGGGTCCAAACTTAGACCCATACCTGGACCCATGTTAGGTATACCCGGCGGGTATGGGACGGGTCGTCGGGTCCGGGTCCATTGCCATGCCTAGGCACAAGTCCCGAGCCTGAGCCGAGTTCCCGCATTGTTTCATCTCAAGTGTCTTTTTTTTTTTTTGGGTAAATAAAATGTTAGTGAAAATGGATCATCTCAACTTTCTTAATTTATTCAAATTGTTGAAGTAAAGATTTAAAATAATTGTCGGGTTCAGTTGTTAGCAACAGTGTGCTTTCTCTATGTATATCTTTTGTTAAACATTTTTATTATGATTGAGGAGAAACTAATGGCATTTGCAGTGTGTCTTCTCTATGCTCTCAAATCATGAGTGTATTTTGATACGTCACAACATATATGAGCAAGATTCAACAGAAAATAGGGTTTAAAATTCAACGTATTTACTACAATTGAAGGTAGGGATGCTTCAATGGAGAAAAGTTTCTCTACAATGATGAAATCAACAAAACTAATTCCAACTTCTTAACAAAGTTTTAGATAACCAATCTCCTAAACCCTGATAATAATAAAGTACCAAACCAACCCTACTCATCAAATAAATTCCAAAGAACTTCTCCAAAGTGCCACACCACCCCTTAACATCATTAAAAATCTCAAAAATGTCCTCCAAAGTCCATGAATAAAAAATAAATAAAAAATTAATTGACGTTGATACTGCCATGATGTCAACATGATCACATCAACCACCCCTAGTTAGATGAAGAACTCGCCCTCGAGTTCTATTTAATGTATTAATTACTTCCACCTGTCAGGCTCTACCTTTTGGAACTCAGCTTCTGAAATATACGAGTCTTCTGCTTCAGATTTATCTTTCCAATGCACAAGATACTTGTATATGATCCAAGCCTGATGGTAATAGTCCTGGCAATTGGTCCTTCCAATCCATCTACATCTCTTTGTCATTCTCACCATGATAGTCATTCAGATCCAAAATATTGATTGTTGAATATGGGACGAAATATCATTACCTGCCGGAAGCTCCACTTTTTATGTGTTTTCTCCCAATCTCTTCAAGATATGGCAATGCCCTATGTGCCTAAACTTCAGCTTATGGTATTACCCTCAAGGAAATATCTCCTTCTGTTGGTAGATCATAACGAAATCTATCTCATTAAACTTGTTTTGTTGCCTGTGTTGGTCGACACTCTTCTTGTAACACGCTGTGTTCAACTTAATATTTTATGTCACCTCTGAGTGGATATCTGGAATATGCTCACCCCAAGCCTCTGCGTCATCACTAACTTGCTCAATATCAGGCAAATTCACGAAATCCATTACTTTCTTAAAATTCCTGCCATAAACTATTTCAGAAGATGTTCACCTTATGGTGTTGTTTCCGGCAGTGTTATATGCATATTCAGCTTGACAAGAACAAATCCTGCTATGGTTTTCCTCCTGTCAAACAACACGAAATATTGCACAAACTCCAGTTAGCCACCTCTGTCTGACCATCTGTTTAAGGATGGTACATACTGCTGAACTGCAATATTGTTCCATTTTTTGCCACTAGGTCCTCCAAAAGTGGCTCATAAAGCATGCATCTCAACCTGTCAAGATCTTCAATATTACTGAATCTATTGAATTTTAAGCCCCATTTTCTGTTGAATCTCTCTCTATACTTTGTGCTGCATCACATTTGTTTTCAGGCTGGACAGTTCTTACCGTCTTTGAGGTCATCTAGTTCATGTTTTCCGTATTTGTTCTTCCTTAAAAAAACATTCTTTTAGGCATTAAATGTACGTCCTTTTGCAGAAATTTGTGCATGCAGTAGATTTGTTAGTTGTGTTAGTGTCACAAAATAAAATTGGTTGCATTAATCAAAATGTAATGAAATGGAACAGGTCTGTGATCCTTTTCATTATTGTTTTTGTTCAAAGTATTTTTATAACAAGTTTTTATTTTTTCTTCATCAAAACATCTTTTTTGTTTTTCGAGTTTTTATTGTATTTCTATGTTCTTCTCATTGTTTCTAGAGCTTCTATGGAAGAAGGATCATATTAGCTTCATCTCTTGAGGCCTTTGATGGTGAAGGCAATTCTCTTCGCATGGTGAAGAGTAGAGCATTAAAAGTTG